ATGACGTCATTTTAGGAGCGAATGTAGATAATTTATCTACATTCACTTTAGAAACATTAAAATCATTATATTAATAAGTAAAATGAGATTTTTTTTCTTACGCTAATACAGAATAAAATTTAAATAAAATAAAATTTTTCTTTCGTTAATAATTTAAAGTTTTAATAAATTGCACTTCATAACTAAATGAGATAAGATATTGTATTTATGTAATACCTATTTACATATTTTTCTTTAATATCGTTAGATTATAATACTAAAACAAGAGAGAAAAAGTGAATCTTAATTAAGATTTTAATTTAATAATATTGAAAAAGAATAAATAAAATAGGTATGAAAATAAATAGGCATAATATCTTATCCCTAATTAATAAACCAACTTAATAAATTATCAAGTATTAAAGTAGGCATGATTTTTTTGTCGCTATTAATTGCATATACACAGCGGTGGGCTCTTCACTACTACTCTTCTAGTGTGGGACCTCGCCTATTTGAAGTTAGAAAAGAGAGAAGGGGAAAGGAGGAGCATATTTTTGTTTTCTATTCATTCTTCTATGATTAATATTTCATATATCTCATTTTATTTTATTTTTTTTAGTAAAAAAGTACATCCTAAATAAATACTAAAGATTTACTTAAAGAATAGGCCGGCGTGCCTTCATTCATAGGACGCCGGGCTCCCTGCCTTTTAGAGTTTGGACGGCAGCACATGTTGCGTTTCACTTTCTCTTTTGTCCTAAATAAGATTACAAAATTATAAAATTCAATAATTAATTAATAAATTTAATAAAATGTCAATTATTATTATACTCTTTAAATAATGTAATAATGCATTCTTGGATGACAATATAATTTTTTTAATCAATAATACATTAATATTGAACTATTAAAAAAAAAAGACTAGAAATGTAGTTTCAATACACAAGTCACATTGTATATTGAAATTAAGATACAAATCTCACTTTACCAAAAAGAAGAAGAAATAAAGATAGAAATCTCATGCCGTCCCGTTAGCTAAGAATGAGACTTTTTTTCAAATGTACATTTACTTTTGATGATATTGATTTTAGGAATGGTTACTTTGTTTCGCTACACTACACTTCAATTCAAAGCAAATTCAGGAAAAAAAAGTTTTGGTTCGAGTTATAGCTGGATTTTGGTGACTTCATCCTTCCAAACATTTCAATGCAGGTGTTATATTACAAAATCAGCCTCATTTATTTTTGTCTTTTATGAGGTCAACATCACCATCTAATGGAAAAGCGCCAAAAGGTTTTTCTTTCTCACCAAATGAATTTTGTATGTTCTAAACATACATATAGTAAGAGACTAGGAGTTTATTTTAATGTGAGATATGTAAATAATTAATATAAATAATTATTTATAATGTGAAAACAATTTGTTTTATAAAGTTTCAACTAAGTTTAGCTTCATGTTTTCGTTCGTAATTTTATTTTTACACTGCCAAAAAAATAATTCATCTAAACTCATTTAAAAAAAAAATTAATTTACTTAAAAATAATTATTTCAATATATTTTTTTTAAAATTTTGTTCTATCCACATTTAAACCAGACAAGCAAAACGTCGTATTTATATAAGAATCACTTAAGAGAGTTTTCAAATTGGATTGAGTTGATTTTGAAGAAAAAATGAATTGATTTATTATAATTATTTTTCTTATAATATTATTTTTAGCTAAGATTAAAATTTTACATAAAATATTATTTTAAAATTACCAACATATATATATTTTTAGTTCAATATAAATTAAATTAATTTTAAAATCAAGATTCAAAGATTAATTCAATTAAATTTTTTAATTTTAGTTAAATTAGATTAATTTTAAACACTCCTAGAGCTACCACGCCATAAGCCCAATATACTTGTAAGAAGTCATTAATATGCTTTTATATAGTGGTTAACTTCAAAACTTCAATGACTTATTCATCAGTTTATAAACAAAAAGATAATTTCTTATTGTTTTTATTTCTTAGTTCTTTTTGACCTAGTTTTCGTTTTTGTGAATACAAAAACATAGAAACATAATATGCCTTCAAAATTAACATAAGAAACAGAAAGACGGCGGCTGATTGCTGCAATTGCAATGACTTGATCAAAGTGAAATTAATAAACAAAGCAACAAATTAACACAAGACCTCCTGAGATGGGGTTTTATAGTATTTGATAAAATAAATTAGTGAACAAGTTAAAAGACGTAAAAGGAAATGAGGTAACATAATTTTGTTTTTTTGGGGGGAATTGGGAACTGTGACACAGAAGCACAAACAGCTTACAACGTAACTCCAACTACCAAACGAGGATGTGCTAAAAACAAAATTCACAAAGAAGGAAGGAAATGTGTCTCGACATATATAAAAATATTAATGTAGCATCATCTAACAGCTTAAGTTTTTAAGTTGAATTGGTTCTTTACATGGTATCAAAGCCTCGTGTCCCGGGTTCGATCTTTGCCGCCCCCCATTTTCTTTCAAGTGGAATTTTTTTGTTCCTACATGTAGGTGGGCATGTGCATTGTCCACCCTTCAAGCTTAATGGACTCTCGTGTGAGGGGGCGTGTTGAGATATATAAAAACATTAATGTAACCTCACCCAACAGCTTAAGCTCTTGGGTTGAATTGGTTCTTTACAAAATGGTCCATTTAATTAACACGAAACGTAAGCCTGTTTTAACTGGTAATTTGGAATTATGTGTTGTGCATACATATATAATAAGAGTAAGATCAAGAGATCTACCCAAGTCAAAGGTCAAAGCCGGTTATCACGAGAAACAAAGAGTTAACTTATAGGTAGTTTTCGTTTTTCATATAGCATAAACATGTATTCAATTTGCAATATAGCATAAACAAAGAGTTAACATGTATTGAACTGTTCTTGACCCCTTCAATGGACTAATTGACCTCGAACCCGGTTACTCTGATCACTCCAACTGATATGCGACGAGTAGAATATTCTATTATCATTATTCTATATCTCTTATACAAGTCTGGTTGACACTAATGATTAATGAATCATCACTTTCAGACTGATTCATATTATTATTAAAATTATTACTGCATGTTATCTTTTTTATTTTATTTTTTGGTAAACTTATACTGCGTGTTATCTTGCTTCTTATTAGCTTATATATACATGAATAAAATGTAATTGTTATGCATATATTTAAAAACAGTGGGAAAATATTTGGTTAAATTTTTTTTCAATAATTAAATAATAATTACAACTATAATTGCAAATAGATTAGACGGAACTAACAATTAAATGAGAGACCAATTCGTTCTTCCTATTTCCTTGCTCAAGATCATGGCGGAGACCGAGTTCAATAAGACTGGACAGCGTATGATTAAATACAACAAAAGCCGTTTACCAAAATTTAAAAAAAAAAAAAAAGAACAACAAAAGTCTTATATTCAATTTTTTATTTTTTTTATTTAAACAAAAACTTTTTATACATAGTCTCAAAGCAGCATAGATAGCGTATAATTAAATAAGACTAGACAGCGTATAATTAAATATACAACAAAAGTCTTATATTCAATTTTTTTATTTAAACAAAAACTCTTTAATTATACATAGTCTGAAAACAGCATAGATTATCAATGAGGAACAAGGTCGAAAGCTGAACTTCATTTCTAAGCGTTGTTCATTTAGTCTATACAAGCTGTTTAGTTTTAAAATCGTTTATTTTATTTGTATACGTGTAAAAAACCACTTAAGTTCCTAAATCAAATTAATGATTTTTCAATGATTGAAATCTTTCCTTAAAATTTACTTATTCCTAAATCAAATTTACTATTTTCAATGATTTGTACATCTGTGGTTATAAATTATAGTAAGTAAGTTTTGGTTAGTCATTGAATAATAAAAGGTCGTAATTCTTCCCATAAATGATGTTAATTGTATTTTGATTCAAACATTGATTTTCTATACAAAATACAATTAACCAATTCCATTTAGAGCCCGTTTGGATGGACTTTATTTTTCTTCAAAAGCTGCTTTTTTTAAGAAAAAAAAGCACTTCTCGAAAAAAGTCTGTTTGAATGCCTGCTTTTAAAAAAAGCAGAAGTCATAAAAAAAGCTAAAAATCTACTTTTTTTTGAAAGCTAAAAATTTTAGTTTTTAAAAAAAGCAGAAGTGAAAAGTCAAATATTTTTTTTCAAAAATCAAATATTTTTTAAAAACTCTAAATAACTATAACTTTAATAGAAAGTGCTTTTAAAATAAGAAAGTGATAAAAAAGACTTTCTTAAAAAACCAATACAATCGAGATCTTAGAATAATCAAATATACATTTTATATGCTCTCTTTTCAACTTTTTTTATTATTATTAATAAAACAAATTACATTCCATCACTTATTATCAAGTTATTAAATGGCATACATAGCCATATTTCGTACAAAAACATTGCTCATTCGCGGGCGTTAACTTTGGAAGATTAATTTGAAAGCAAGTTGTTAGTTGAGATTAACGAGATCCTCGGTCCCGTTTCACTCATTCTGTGGTGGCCTGGCCTAGGAGATTATTTATTGTGGTTGGAGATCACCATTTTTTAGGTGGTACCTTAGTGGAAATAGAAGGATAAAATTAGAAAAGAGAAAAGATAACAGGAGTAAAAAAGAAAATAAAAATTTGATGATGTGAGAAGAAGCACCAAATCATTGAATGGTCCTGGATTATAATAAATATTTCCTGGCCTAGGCTTAAAAAAACAAAAAGAAAACTAGGTTTACATTGTCTCACTCTCATTCTACCGCGTCTGTTGTCTTTACTCTCCACTGTCCACACCCACCTCGTCTTCAACCAAGGGTCAAGGAATCTTCAAAGCCCTTTCACTTCTATAAATACCCCTCCTCACTCCCAAACACCCAAACTACAACAACTTCACACACTGAACCTGAGACCCCAACACAGGAAGCGACGAGAAACACAAAGGATTCTTTAATTCTACTTGCAGTTTATTTCCTTTTGTTATTAACTAAAATGCCTAAAAAGGGACTGAGAAACTTGTTGTTCTTCAAACACTCACCATTACCCCCTTCCTCTACTCGCAGAGTCACCTTCTCCGATTCATTAATGGATGAAAACATTGAAACCGCTCGCTCCCTCATAACCAAATGGGATCCTATTCCAACTTCCAACGGCAAAACCACCACTCTTTTCAGCAACACTCGAGAGGAAGCCAAACAGTACATTAACGCCGTTAAGAGGCTGCAATCCGCTATGCAGTACCTCGTCGCACAGGATTCCTCCTCCGAGAAGCTCTTGCAAGCACAGTTATTATTGCAAGTCGCCATGAAGAGGCTCGAGTTGGAGTTCTATCGGATATTATCCGAAAACAGAGACCGATTGGAACCTGAATCTGTCTCCTCCCGCTCCTCCACCGATCGCCGGAGCAGCGTCTCCGATTACGACGATGAATTCTCCGACGACGAGTTCCGTCTCGCCGCCGGCAACAACTCTGTATCAATGGTTGCAATGGCGGATTTGAAAGCCATTGCAGAGTGTGTGATTTCAGCAGGATATAGCGAAGAGTGCGTCAAGATTTACATCATCGTGAGAAAGTCGATTGTTGATGAGGCACTGTACCATCTCAGAGTTGAGAGGCTCAGCTTCTCTCAGGTTCAGAAGATGGACTCGGAGGTGCTTGAATTGAAGATTAAGAGCTGGTTGAATGCTATCAAGGTCGCCGTCGGAACTCTGTTTCACGGTGAGAGAGTTCTCTGCGATCACGTTTTTGGTTCCGCGGAGAATAAGATCGCCGAGTCCTGTTTCGCCGAGATTTGCAGAGATGGCGCAACGTACCTGTTTGGATTCCCGGAAAACGTGGCAAAGTGCAAGAAAACGCCAGAGAAAATGTTCAGGACACTCGACATGTACGAAGCGATATCTGACAATTTGCAACAAATTGAATCCATCTTCTCGTTTGAATCAACGTCCACGATCAGATCGCAAGCCGTCAATTCACAGGTGAGGCTCGGCGAGGCCGTTAGGGCGATGCTATCGGACTTCGAATCGGCGATTCAGAAGGAATCCTCGAAGATTCCAGTGCCAGGCGGTGGGGTCCACCCGCTCACGCGCTACGTCATGAACTACATCGCCTTCCTCGCCGATTACAGCGGCGTTCTCGCCGGGTTAATCGCCGATTGGCCGCGAACTCCGTTGCCGGAGTCTTACTACCGCAGTCCGAATCGCGAGGAAGATAAAACGTCGTCTGAGATAGCGGAACAGCTCGCGTGGCTGATACTGGTGGTGCTCTGCAAGCTGGACGGCAAAGCTGGGCTTTACAACGACATTGCACTCTCTTACCTGTTCCTCGCGAATAACATGCAATACGTCGTCGTAAAGGTCCGAAAATCGAACCTAGGGTTCCTTTTCGGCGAGGATTGGTTTATGAAGCACGAGTCCAAGGTGAAGGAGTATGTCTCCAAGTACGAGCGCGTGGGGTGGAACAAGGTGCTGGAGTCGCTGCCGGGGAATCCGACGGCTGAGATGCCGGCGGAGCAAGTCAGGGCCATATTCGAGAGTTTCAACGCCGCATTCGATGAAGCGTGCAGGGCCCAGTCCTCGTGGGTCGTATCCGACCCGAAATTACGAGACAAAATCAAAGTTTCGATAGCTTCGAAGCTGGTGCCTAGGTACGTGGAATTCTACGAGAAGTTTCGGGTCGGGTCGGAGTCGGTTATAAGATATTCACCCGATGATTTGGGGAATAATCTTTCGGAGCTTTTGTATGGGATGGAACAATCGGATAGTGTTTCGTCGCATTGTCGTTCTCCTATTCATCGTTTGAAACGCCCGTGAAGTTGGAGAACTCGCCGGCGACGTCATGGCCCACCCCGTGTTTTTTTTTTTTTACTTTGACGGTAAAGACAAGATAATGGCCCAAAGAGTGCAATAAGGACAGAATACTGTATAGGAATTTGTATACATTAAAGATTTAAAAATTGGAATATTTTTCTCAGCAAACAAACGTTGTACAAAATATTTATGTAAAACATTTAACATATAATAGATTTAGAAATTTGAATGGGTAAAACATGCATACTGATACAGCATCAATATTATTACAAAACGGAGCGAAGTAATGGCCTATAAAAATGTAACATCTGTGAAAAAAAAACTTTAATATTTTATATATGTATTCCTAAAAATATATAATTTATAATTTTATTTTGAATTAAAATAATATCCACTACTCAGTCCGAATGCCGTCGAAGTAATGGTGTCTACTGTCCATCCTACATAAATTCTTAACCAAGCTGTGCAACACTTTGCGTAGAAGATCAACAGCTGAATTAAAGGCTTGAAGATCATAATATTTATTTCAATTTTTTTTATAGAAAAAAATTATAGTTACTATCTCTTTTTCTTACCTTATCTTATTAATAAATCATAATCGTTGATTTTCATCAATTTAACGATTATAATTTATTGGGTCATACTTATTAATTAATTATTAATTTTTAATAAATTATAACAGTTAGATTGACGAAAATCAACGGTTAAAATTTAATAGTAAGAAGAAATAAGTAAAAGAGGTAGTAACTATAACCTCTCCTTTTTTTTATAATATACAAATGCAGGATTAGTTTTAAAGTGACAGTAGATTAAAATATATTTTTTTAAATCATCTATTCCATTAAAGACGTAGTTTAAAAGGTCTTCTATAATTTCTTTCTTTTAACGATTAAGATATGTCTATCACAACAAACACGGAAATTCCTTGGCTTTGACTGTCCTTCACTTGTCAATCAGCAAAATTTCAATAAACTTAAGAATTTAAATTTTCACATTTGAAACAGCAATTGACACACAAGGCTCAATTAAATAAAAAAAAAAATATCGAAAGAAACGAAGGTGTGTTATGAAAAATAGAAACTCATCCCGTATATTTGTCCTAAACCTGTCCTTCGTTCATCCATAAATGCCCAATTTTTAAAACGAATATGGGCTTACCAATGGACTGCACTACTATTGGGCTTTTCTGAACTAAGATATTTTTGTATAATACCAAGCCCAAAAATTGTTGTAGCCCAACCAAAGTTATATATTATCCTTTTGGACATTCAAAACATGGGCTAACAGGTGTGGGTTCACTAACAACCAGCTCGCACGTTGGTCCATTGAAGCTAACAACCATATTGACACTACATCGTGCATAGTTTGTATCAAAGTTATTAGAACTGAATCGGTGATTGACCCAGTGGGGTACTAGGTTATTAGATCAATGGTTCAATCAGTTAGTTACTGGTTGAACATCATGACCCATATATATATATATATATATAAATTTACATTTTATATTTAATTATATAATGTAAGTACTTTGATATATTTTCCCATGATAAGGGTTCAAGCCCCACTAGTCATAATTTTTTAAATAATTCTATTAACTTAGTACTTATATAATAAATATATTATATGGTGCAAATTACTCAACATGTGAGGATAGTCTAGTAGTTGGTGGTGGCGTCCCTCGTTCCAATGGGCTTAATAACACTGGTTTGTAGTCTAAGTCAACATGTTTGAAAAAAAGGCTCGGAAAATTGAACATGTGGGAGTGATAGCATATGTTCGATTCTCCTATTTTTAGGAGAGGTTTAAAGCCTTAATACTGGGATTCGCCTTGAATTGGACTAGTCACGAAGCGATGAACCGGTTGGAATATTTAAAAAAAAAAGGTGGATCAAACACAAAAGGCGGATTCCCATATTAAGGCTTTAAACCCCTCCCAAAGACGGTACTGGGGAGAATCGAACATATGCTCTCACCTCCACCTGTTCAGTTTTCATGCGCCAACTGAGCTACTACTGTTTGGTGATTTGCAATACAATTTTTGTGTTAAGATTATGCATAAGCTCACCTTTATGGGAGGAATGTGTTTTAAAGCTGTGAGAATCTCACCTCAGGTTTAGAACCTAATTGTGGTGAATAAAATTTTGAGTGTCTTATGATGTAACAACTTGGAGTCGAAATTATTTTCCTTTCAGCACAAGTCACCATCTTAAAGAAAAGGAATAAGAAAAAAAAAAAATATTTCACATGAAATCTTGCGGAAATATTATCTCTCAAAACTTCAAAATGTTGCTTCTCAAGTTCAATTTGATGGAGCGTTGAAACATATTTTAAAAAAGGTACAGATGATGAAATGAAATTATTTCCTCTTTATTAAATTTTTTATATATTTTTAATCTAATCGCAGCAATCAGTGAAAAACATTAATAAATTTAAAAAATTAAAATTTTGTGGAAAATATTTGTCATTTTAAAGGACACAATTTTGTGTTATTTTAAGTGAAACTACTATATTTTGGTTGGTTTTACCTTATGTCTCATCCACAAAATCAGGAGGAGAGAGAAAAAGAGAATATTGTTGAGGGAAGCGAAGGTAAAAACCCACCAAAACATAATAGTTTCACTTAAAATTGTTAGGAACGTGGCTTCCATACTCAAGAAGGGGGGAATTGAGTATTAAATTTTTTATCCAAAAGCCACTCCTAGTTTCTAAATTATCATTTTAAGTAAGCTTTGATATATAAAAGGGTAATCAATACGTTTAAATAATTCATAACATATGATATAACACAATTATAGAATCTAAACTAGCACATACAAGATATTTAAGAAGTAATTAATGTAATAGAAATAAAGAGTTTAGAGAATTGCAAACTCAATATATTCTGGTTCGGTCACCACCACTTGTGACCTACATTCAGACTAAAACTGCTCAATCAAATATTTCACTAGTGGTCAAACTTCATCATGGGTGTTTTACAAACCGCTACAACCTCCAAGACTTTGGGTTCTTAGAAACCTTACAACCTCCAAGTTTGCGGGTACTTGACAACCTTACAATTCTCTCCAAATTTTCCTAGATGTTTTGCTACCTTTTAAACTCAATGGGTCTCACAATCCTTTCAACTCAAGAATACAAGAAGGAATTGTTTGGAAATAAATATATACTCTCAAAGTGTGGATAGTACATGTTGAAACATTATAGGAATATGGATTTTCAAGACATGAGCTCAAGAATGTGTGATCTTTGAATGATATTGAAATATATGTAAATGATGATCAAGATACTCTCAAAATATGCTTAAGATGTGTAAAATTGATGCCCAAAATGTTTTGGAGTTGTTGGGGATGTATATATAGTATTTCCATTGAAAACTAGTCATTACAACGCTTACTAGATAATAAATAATCGATTACTTTCGTGGAGTAATAGATTACTTGATCAAGTGATCGAATACTGTCAAAAAGTAATTGATTACTTTCATTTGCAACTTGGCAGCAAGAACATTATGTTACAAACGCAATAAATAAAAATTGAAATTTGACTTTATTGAGGAAGCCTGACCTCTTGCATAAAGTGCTTTTTTCCAAATAATTTTTCTGATGATCTTTACTCAAATATTTCAAGGATTAAATAGATATTACAAGCCAACAAGTAACTCCCCATTAACACTAGATAGACTCCACTAATAGTTGATGCCTACAGTTAAAATTCAAATAACAAAACAAACAAAATAACTACCCACAACCCACTATTTAAACAAACCAACAATTCATAAAATAATAAAAATAAAAAACTGTAACATTCCCTCCCCCTAGAAATTACTCTTGTCCTCAAGAGTAAAATCGAGATCAAGTAATTGAATCATCTTCAATATCCATGTCTGCCTCTTCTTTGCTGTTGATTGGAAAACGTCTTCTCGCCACAACTCTTTCTTTCTTCTTCTCAAAGAATTTTAGAATTGAATTTCTCATATGATATCCCATGTCTAAATGAAAGTGGGGTCTTAGTTGAGGGGCATTTTTTTATTGAGATACTTTGACCGTATTCAAATTTTTAATAGTAATGCTGAGGGGAGTTGCTTGTTTGGTGGAAAGAGAAAGAGATAAATGTTGGGGTGTGGAAGTCTCAAGTATGAAATGAGAACAATGGACTTGGGATAGTTTGGTGGTTGGTACTAGAGCATCTAGCCAATTGGAGAGTTTGGTAAGCATCTCCTTGAATTATTCCGCCAAAGACAGAATCGCGTCTTCCAGTCTTTCCAATCGTTGTGCTTGGCTCTGATACCAATTGTTACGAACACAATAAATAAAAATTGGAATTTGGCTTTATTGAGGAAGTATGACCTATTACAAAGAGTGCTTTTTCCAAATAAATCATCTGATGATCTTTATTCAAATATTTCAAGGTTTAAATAGATAATACAAGCCAACAAAGTAACTATTCACTAACGCTAGATAGGCTCCACTACTATTTAATGTCTAAAGTTGAAATTCAAATAACAAAACAAACAAAATAACTACCCACAACCTACTATTTAAACAAACAACCAATTCATAAAATAATATTAATAAAAAAAAATTGTAGCACATTATTTCGTATTTTGGTTATAACTTGAGCTATTCTTATCGGATTGATGTGATCTTGGTCTTTTGAAAAGATAAAAGAGAGATGTACAACTTCTATGAAGAACACAAGATCAAATTCATCATCTTTGATACGAAAAATTGTCCCGAAAACAACAATCAAATTATGTTGCAAATTTTAAGTTCAAATGTGTTCTAGCTTCCTTCCATTTTATGAAAGATCTTGATTTGATAAATATGCTTTGATGTTATAAAATATGTCAAGGATCTTTTCCATGGCTTTTTCAAGTTTATTTCAAATATATAAAAGGTTATGGATTTGAAAAACATATTTACTTTGAGAAAAACTTCGAACTCATAAAATGCAATCTACCATATACTCTTACATAAGAGTCCAACTCCTAAAGATACAATTCTACA